ACCATTTTCCTGGAGCTAGGATGGAAAAGTTAAATTACTGTATGTTAGAAAATAATTATACAGAATGTAATTAAGTTGTTAGATATTTCAGAAAACATTGTTTATATTGCAAAAAAATTATAACATATTCTGCTGTCCAAGATTCAGCTAATAGCTAATAAAAATTATTAAAAATTATTTTTAGGAAAAAATGGGGTAATATAACAGTTTCGTCTGTAAGTACTAGTGTAAAACTGTCGAATTATCTTTAAAAAAAAGTATTTTTAATCACATAATCAATTACCTGCTAAAAAATGTTCATTTTCAATTAGTTTAAAATAAAAACTTGTTTCGAGAAATCAATAATCATAATTATGAGTATCTACCCTTATTTATAGGAAAATCACATATCAAGATTAATAAAAACCTTAAAGACATTGTTCAAACACCAATGAAAATTTAAAAAACTAAATTTGTATTTTTTGTTCCTTATTAACTTTTATTAAATAGCTTTTTTTTATTTATAATTTATTGGTGCCATTTTCTAATGTAATATAAATGTTTTAAGTTTAATAACATAATGTTATCATAATATATTTACTGTAGTATTTATTACACAAGATAAAAAAGTAAAACCCTTCGCACTTGGCAAAATCGAAGCTTTGTTACTACTTATTATCTCACAACCTCCATGTAAACGGGTGAATTTACCGCCTTTTCAGATTCCTTTAGTGACCGAAATCGAGAATGTCTATTCCTTGCTGATGAGTCCTAATAAGGACAAAACCGGTCCAAGAATAACGTTATCTATGGTAAGCAAGATCAAAGTTTGAATATTGAAATATGAATTTTTTTAACTTTGTTGTTTTCTTTGGATATAATTCAATGTCTGCTGTGGAATTAGCCAAAGAAGTAGTTGTTTTTCGAAGGGAAACGTTAAAGTTTGGATTTATTTCCCTTTTTTAATAAAATATTTGACTACATGTTTCTTATAATAGTTTTAAATTTACTCTATTCTTTAGTAGAAATATGCCCATAATCTCTTATTTATTTTGATTGATGATTCTTAATGTATGCTCAAGTGCATGCCATAGTACTTTGGAACGATATTACAAATATATTTGAATTCCTTAATTTTGAAGTTTTTAATAAAATACTTTCAAGATCTGAGCAATCAATATTCCCATGTAATAATTACATACAAAATGATAGTTTTTAATACGAAAGTTCTGTTTAAATCACGTGATTCCAGATTTATTTGCTACAAAATATATGACGGCCTTGGATTTTTGTATTCATTTCATATAAATTGGTATTTTAAATATATCCTGTTTTTATTTAATTTAAAATAAAGTTTCAAAAAAGAGTATGTTTTTTATTTTTAGAAATCTCTTAAAATCCATAAAAAAGAAAAGTAAAATTCTATTACGAATTTTTAAGGTTATTAGTTCTACTGTGTAAGTAAATCCTTAATATTTTCGAATTATGTTTAAATGTGTTACTCCTATCCTGTACACTACAATATACAATCAATGCGCAAGTGCGTGGGTCGCTTTTTTTTAAAGATGGCCGCCTTCAATTCTACGTGCCTGATGAAAATGACATTTCCTATCTCCTTTATCGATGTCTGTGGTTTAAACTAAGTTTAACGTTTTGACATTGACACATGAGTATATTAAACAATATAGTTTTTGCATATTTTATAAAATAAATCGTGCTCATGAATGACTTGGAAGTAATAAGTAAAGACGATGAGGAAATTGCAGCCTATTTAATGCATATTAATATACCTAGGAGAATACGCATGATTCGAGTGAGATCTAATCATTTTTTAAATTGGGATGAACAGGATTTTTTTGCAAGATTTCGTTTGTCTAAGGAAACGGTTAACAGAATAATTATTGAAATAGAAGGACGAATTGCAAATCCGACTAATGGTAATAGGAAAATTACATTTTTATAGCATTTTGTGATCTCATTTTATTATTCTAGAAATAATGCACTAACTTCTGAAGTCATGGTTCTGTTGACTATACGATTTTTTGCAATGGGATCTTTCTTAATTACCACCGGTGACTTCTGTGGAGTTCATAAGAGTACGGCAAGCAAAATTATTAAAAAGGTATCTAGAGCAATAGCTGCACTACGTCCTCAATATGTTAAAATGCCAAATGCAGGAGGAAATTAGAAGTGTGCGCCATGGTTTTTTAATATTGCCAGATTCCCTCGTTGTATATGAGCTTTAGATTGCATCCACGTAAAAATTCAAAGTCCTGGTGGTATTCAAGCTGAAATTTACAGAAACAGGAAGCAATACTTTTCAATAAATGTTCAAACTATTTCCGGACCAGATTTAAGAATTCAAAATATTGTAGCTCGATGGGAAGGATCGCAACATAATTCAAACATATTTAGGAATTCTAACATAAGGATGAAATTTGAAAGGGGTGAAATGGGATACAATTTGCTTGTAGCGAATCGTGGATATCCTATTAAAAAATATTTATTAACTCCACTTGCAAATCCAGCAACTCCGGCTGAGCAACTATATAATGAATCAATAATCAGAACGAGAAATCCAGTTGAAAGAAGTTATGGTATATGGAAACGAAGATTTCCGATACTGGCACTGGGTATTCGACTAAAACTACAAAGGATAGAAGCTATTATAGTAGCAACAGCAGTTTTACACAATATTGCCTGTGAAGTGAGAGAACGAGACCCACCAATGGATCAGGAACTTGAAGAGTTAATTGAACAGCAATTTATTGATGTTGAACCTCATTACGCTGAACAAAACCAACAAAATAACAATAACAAAGTATAGGATTCATAACTTTTTTTCGACCTCGAGTTTTCGACGGATTTTTAGGTTTTGGGATCCCCTAAAAATGTTTTGACTATTTTCGCGATGGTGTGTGTGTGTGTGTGTGTGTGTGTGTGTGTGTGTGTGTGTGTGTGTGGTGTGTGTGTGTGTGTGTGTGTGTGTGTGTGTGTGTGTGTGTGTGTGTGTGTGTGTGTGTGTGTGTGTGTGTGTGTGTGTGTGTGTGTGTGTGTGTGTGTGTGTGTGTGTGTGTGTGTGTGTGTGTGTGTGTGTGTGTGTGTGTGTGTGTGTGTGTGTGTGTGTGTGTGTGTGTGTGTGTGTGTGTGTGTGTGTGTGTGTGTGTGTGTGTGTGTGTGTGTGTGTGTGTGTGTGTGTGTGTGTGTGTGTGTGTGTGTGTGTGTGTGTGTGTGTGTGTGTGTGTGTGTGTGTGTGTGTGTGTGTGTGTGTGTGTGTGTGTGTGTGTGTGTGTGTGTGTGTGTGTGTGTGTGTGTGTGTGTGTGTGTGTGTGTGTGTGTGTGTGTGTGTGTGTGTGTGTGTGTGTGTGTGTGTGTGTGTGTGTGTGTGTGTGTGTGTGTGTGTGTGTGTGTGTGTGTGTGTGTGTGTGTGTGTGTGTGTGTGTGTGTGTGTGTGTGTGTGTGTGTGTGTGTGTGTGTGTGTGTGTGTGTGTGTGTGTGTGTGTGTGTGTGTGTGTGTGTGTGTGTGTGTGTGTGTGTGTGTGTGTGTGTGTGTGTGTGTGTGTGTGTGTGTGTGTGTGTGTGTGTGTGTGTGTGTGTGTGTGTGTGTGTGTGTGTGTGTGTGTGTGTGTGTGTGTGTGTGTGTGTGTGTGTGTGTGTGTGTGTGTGTGTGTGTGTGTGTGTGTGTGTGTGTGTGTGTGTGTGTGTGTGTGTGTGTGTGTGTGTGTGTGTGTGTGTGTGTGTGTGTGTGTGTGTGTGTGTGTGTGTGTGTGTGTGTGTGTGTGTGTGTGTGTGTGTGTGTGTGTGTGTGTGTGTGTGTGTGTGTGTGTGTGTGTGTGTGTGTGTGTGTGTGTGTGTGTGTGTGTGTGTGTGTGTGTGTGTGTGTGTGTGTGTGTGTGTGTGTGTGTGTGTGTGTGTGTGTGTGTGTGTGTGTGTGTGTGTGTGTGTGTGTGTGTGTGTGTGTGTGTGTGTGTGTGTGTGTGTGTGTGTGTGTGTGTGTGTGTGTGTGTGTGTGTGTGTGTGTGTGTGTGTGTGTGTGTGTGTGTGTGTGTGTGTGTGTGTGTGTGAGTGTGTGAGTGTGTGAGTGTGTGAGTGTGTGAGTGTGTGAGTGTGTGAGTGTGTGAGTGTGTGAGTGTGTGAGTGTGTGAGTGTGTGAGTGTGTGAGTGTGTGAGTGTGTGAGTGTGTGAGTGTGTGAGTGTGTGAGTGTGTGAGTGTGTGAGTGTGTGAGTGTGTGAGTGTGTGTGTGTGTGTGTGTGTGTGTGTGTGTGTGTGTGTGTGTGTGTGTGTGTGTGTGTGTGTGTGTCATGAACGGATACAGAGGAAAACAAAATTTGAAACTTAAGCGTTATTTTGGTCTGCCGTGAACTGATTAGATTATGGACAGAGTCAGAACATCTAGGAGGATACTTTATAGGAGGTCGTTTTTATATTTTTTGGAATATATTTGTAATTTACGTTTGGAAGATAAAATTCTTTAAATAAAAATTACTTCTAATTATGATAATTTTTATTCTGTACAAAATTATCCTAAAATGATCCGTGTTCGAGAAATTTGTCAAAATGTGCAAAATTATAATTTTTAAGAAAATTGTTAAACTAAAAGTTGTTGACGATATTGATATCTACAATTTTTGTTTAATACATCATTTCTCTAAAATTGGCCATAATGGAAAAATTTGAGGAAAAGTGTAAAATTTTAATTTTTCAATATTTTTATTGGCAATGAATATATTATAAAAAAATGTTTCGAGTTAGATGTATGTGGAAAATCTAAATGTAAGTGTGGAAAATCTAAATGTGAATGTGAACATTTACAGAGGTAATACAATAGTACAAAATAACCGGAAAGAGCCTGAATTAACTAGATAGGAAAGTCATGTATTGGACACATCAGATTTTTAATGAAACTAATTAGAGATATCACAATAAACTGAAATTAATTTAAATAAAATACAGAAAGTTGGAACAATAAATTAAAACTTGGGCATTACGTTGTTGATATATTACTTTGTAATTGTTTGTCCTTTATTTTAAGATCTAATTCTAAAACCTTCATCTTAACGGCATGTTCTTTTCTTCTTTGGCTCATAATTAAATCGTGTTCTTCACGTTCTCTTTCAATTTTTGTTTTTGACTCTTCTAGCAGCTGGGTCATTTGCAATTTGATTAATTCTAATTTTGCACTACCCACCTCTGTCCAGGTGCTATTGGCATTATTTCTGGGTGTGGATTTATGCGCTTTAGCCGTTTTATTTTTTTTTTTTTTTTGTAAATACTACTTGGTCAATTTTATCAGTATCTTCAAGTTGTTTACTTGATTCTGCTTTATTACTTGATGCTTCGTTTATTTTTTCTTGTATATTTAACGGAAGAAGTGGAAAAGATCTAGGTTTTTTTAACATAATTGGATTATACGTTGCCCAGTTTAATTTTTGTGGCACCTCTATTTTTGAAGAACCCGCTTCTTCTTGATTTTCGATAATATCGTCTTCGTTAATTTTATTATTTTCAACAGCCTTAAGTATACTATCGTCATCGAATTCTGATTCCATTCCTGTAATACGACTGCCTAAAATTTCTTTTAGTGATTGATCAACTGAATCAATGTTTATGATTTTAGGCAGTCCACCGCCAGTCCCTCGCATATATAATTTTTCATCGGCATATTTTTGTTTTGTTATTTTTTTTTTTCAAATTATCATATTTTCTCCTCAAGGTATTTACATCCCTGGGAGTAATATTATTTGCATTAAACTCTTGACACAGCTGTAGCCATTCTAAATTTTTTCTCTTGATGTATTGACATCGGTTTTCTTACATTCTAAAATATTTTTCCTTTTGGACATTAGCGATACCTATTAAAATTGTTTCGATAGTTTATTTAAACAATAATTTGTAGATTATAATATTTACCAATAATTCTTCTTCGCTGCTCGAAAAATTAGCTGCCCGTTTATTTTTCTCTATATTTTTTCCATTTTAATTTTTCGTTTTTATTTCATGAAGGAATTTTTCAAAACGTCAAACTGACATAGAGCATTCAGTTTTGTCAGAAGTACCTCGATTCAGAACTACCAATATAAATTTAATTAAGATCACCTGAACTGTGATTGAAAAACGCTATTCATATTGATCTTAGTTCTATATTTGATATAAGTCTTAGATTAAAGAGACCGAAGATGTAACATTGCACACTGCGCATGTTGTCTATTTTAAGCCAAAGTAACCCACCAATTGAAAATCATTGTTGCACGACGCCACCCGAATTGCTCCGATTTCCATTCAGCGATCACCTCCACCTGAGGTTAATCACCATTGACAGCTGTTTTTTGATTTATTTGTTGGTATTTTAGCAATTTAAAGTGTTCTAGTTAATCAATTTCAAGTTCAAAATGTCACGATGTATCTTGAAAAATTGTATGTACTTATAATACAAGTACTACTGTTATGAATATATTCGTTTTCAGCGGTAAATATTTATTAACGTTTTGACATAACGCGCCATGATTCTCTGGGCTGAATACTTCAGATCCGCATCAAGGGGTTTCAATAAATATTAAGCATCAGAAATCAGATTTCATATTACTTACATAAATTTACAAAAGGGTAAAATTTTGAACATTTAATTTAAATAAATAGTAAATAGGCATCATTGCTAACGAAATTTTGTATTTAAAAAATAGTTTTATAAGAATGTTTTCTAAAGGTAGTTTTAGCCCTTTTTGGTAGATAAATAAGAAAGAGGTAAAGAATCATAGTTGCTAGCTAAATTTTATTTTTATAAGGTATTTTTATAAGGTATTTTTATAAGGTATTTTTATAAGGTATTTTTATAAGGTATTTTTATAAGGTATTTTTATAAGGTATTTTTATAAGGTATTTTTATAAGGTATTTTTATAAGGTATTTTTGTAAGGTATTTTTATAAGGTATTTTTATAAGGTATTTTTATAAGGTATTTTTATAAGAACATTAGATGAAATACAGGATGACCTACTTAAAATTTCAAGGTTCATCTTATTTGCGGTCAAATCTAAAGTGACATTGAATTTTCAGTCTTAAAACAAAGTAATCTAGTATAAGCAAAAAAAAAATACTAAAGTTACAGGAGTTAGGTCCGATTCCACCGTTGTGTTAAACGGAGATTAAAATGACAGTGTTAATGTAAAAATGTCATTTTAAACTTCGTTTAACACAACGGTGGAATCGACCCTTGGTCACGTTAATAAAATGTTACATTACAAACCCCTAAACAACTCGAACATAATTTTCGTTTACTAAAAAAAAATCCAAAATTTAGCAATATTTATTTATTATACAATCGAATGCGATTTCAAAGATAACTGGATCAAAAAATCCGAATCTCTAAATTTTGGAGCTAAATGCTCAGATAAAATCAAGCGACCGATAGGGGTTACAAAAATAATCGATTTATCGATAATTCTCTTTTTTAATGAAAATCGATTTATCCGCTGTTTTTAATAAATTATTTTCGTTTTTTTTTTTAAGATAATGTATAAATCGATTTTAAAGGAAATACAAAAAAAGTAGATTTATTCAAAATAATCGATTTATCGTTTAATCGGTTTTTTAATTATTTGATTATTTTCGATTTTTCAAAGATATTATATGAAAATAATCGACTGAATATAATCGGTTATTTTACATAATCGATATTTTTGTTATTTTTTTTTAATTATCGATTTATTGGATAATCAGCTTTTTAATAATCAATTATTTTCGATAATCCAATAATCAATTTCAAAGGAAATATGAAAAAAGGATTATTAGAAAATAATAGATAATTCGTTTTTTTTTTTGGAAAATCGATTTATCATAGAATCGGCTTCTTAATTAATTGGTTATTTTCGATTAGGCGATTATTTTGGAATTAGTAATTATTTTTGGTATTTCAAAGACAATCGAATTATCGATTTTAAAGGAAATACAATAAAAATAGATTATTGATAATAATCGATTGATCGAAAATAATAAAACAATCGATCATTCTGTTTTTTTTTGAAAATCGATTTGACAGTTAATCGACTTTTTAATTAATCGATTATTTTTGAAATACAATAAAATAGATTATTGGTAATAATCGATTTATCATAGAATCGGCTTCTTAATTAATTGATTATTTTCGATTAGGCGATTATTTTGGAATTATCGATTAATTTCGATATTTCAAAGATAATCGAATTAACGATTTTAAAAGAAATACATTAAAAATAGATTATTGATAATAATCGATTGATCGAAAATAATCAATTATTTAAAATAATCAATAATTCTGTTTTTTTTTAATCGATTTATCAGTTAATCGACTTTTTAATTAATCGATTTTTTTTGATTAATCGATTATTTTCGATTTTTCAAAGATTATCGAATAATCTGTTTCCATGGACGAAAAAAAATGGTTTATTTGAAAATAATCGATTATTTAAAATAAACGATAATTCTATTTATATTATATTTTGTAAACACTGATTTATCGGTTAATTGGCTTTTTAATTAATCGATTATTTTTGATTTTTCAAAGATAATCAAGTAGTCGATTTTAAAGGAAATGACAAAAAATATATTGTTTGAAAATAATCGATTGATCGAAAATAATCGATTATTTTCAATGATTGATAATTTATTTCGATAATCACTCATCACTGGCGACCAAATGACTTTTAATAGATTTAAATTTTAAAATGTTATATGGTTTCAGACATATGCATTTCTAGAGTTTTATGTGACTCATCCTTCATAATAATTAATATTCTTAAAGAAAGAAGCCTTAATATACTTTTTTCTGAGGTTACAATACAAAACAGCATTTTTTCATTTTGACTAATTTTTAATAATATGTAATAGCCGTAGAAAAAATATAATGTTCAACTCATAAGGGTAGATTTGCAGTATTAGCTTGCGCACATGCTATTTTCATAATACTAGTTATATAAGAAGAAACGTCGAGTCTATTAAAATATAAAACCGTAAACGGCGCAAACTGTTAACTTTGCATTTATTATTATCATTAAAATTGTATTATAAAAATTCATTCCAGCTTAGATTGTTGTAGAACAAAGTCATAAATAAAGTCTCTAATCTTCGAAAAGTAAATTTTTGTTTTTAAAAAATTATTTTCCAGTTAAATAAATTTAACTGGCGCAGTCGTAGTAGTATCGACACAGTATTTTCGCGAAAAGCCACGGCATCGGGTCCGATTTTCCGAAATTTACGTGAGTTTCAACTCTTTGGTGTCGAGAACTTTCCTGTGGGAATCTACCCTGGAGACGGAGGCCTGCTGAGCTGGAATCATCAGAAGAAGTACAAGTAAGTACTGAGTACTCCTTTTATACTTCCTCTCATTTTACACTTAGTTTTTGCGAATTTTAGAATAGGTTAAGTAAATAAATAATTTTTTTTGATCGAAAGAAAATAAAAAAAAAAATATACTTAGATATAGATTTTTGTATGAACAATATAGACAATTTAATCGTAGATTTTAATAAAAAAAATAAATATGGTGGATGGAAACCAATTAAATGCAAATCAAGCAAACGTAAATCAAATAAATGCAAATCAAGTAAATATTGATATGTTAAAATTACATGTCGATACCATTCCCATGTTTGATGGGGATGAAAATAATTTAGCAAAATTTTTAAATAGTTGTGACTTCGTAGTAAACACATATGCAAATGTAAATGATCCGGCAATTCAAAGTTATATTCTTCAGGTAATAAAATCGAGATTTGTAGATAGAGCAAATTTATTGGTCGGTTCGCGAAATGAATTAAATACTTGGAATTCTATTAGAGAATCATTACAACAATGCTTTGGAGATAGACGATCTTTAGAATGTCTTGAACAGGATTTGTTAACAGCACATCCACAAAGAAACGAACAACCAATAGATTTCGCCCGAAGGTTACAAATTTTGAGAAGTCACTTGATCGGTAGAATTAATAACTTTACAGATGCTGAAATTCCTTTACATACTAAAGAGTCATACAGAAGGCAATATAATCAAATGGCGTTGAGAACCTTGTTAAGAAATCTCTCTGGTAACTTACAAACTATCATTAGACTTAAAAATCCAATCAATATAGAACAAGCAATAACTTATATAATTGAAGAAGAAAATTTCGCATATTCACAGAATAACTTAAAACAGATTGAAACCCCTCAATACAGATCAAATTCCAATCGATTTAATGATCGTCAAAATTTTAATAATAATCACCAAAATTCTAATAACAATCGCCAACCTTTTAGTAATAACCAGTATAGAAGCTTCCCTCAAATATTCCAAAATACTAGAAACCAGCCCGACAATGCTTATCAAAGAAATTTTGCCCCCATACAACTTCCCGTAACTTATCAAAATAACTCATTCCCCAGCCAACCAATTCCTGTACAACCACGTACGATTAATAGATATTATCCAACAAATAGACAGGTATTCGGGCCACCGAAAAATGCATTTGCCCCAACGGGCCAAATACCCCCAAACAGTCCAGTACCAATGTCGACTACTACTCGAAATACCTTCAGACCCAGACAAAATTTCCAAAATTATCAACAACCCATGTCGACAACCACCCAAAATACTTTTAGACCCAGACAAAACTATCAACAAAATTTTGCAACTCAACAACTATTTCAAACAAATAACATAGATTTTGAAAATCCATTTGAGGAAACTCCTATCGATCAAATCGAATACGAATTTGAAAGTTATTTACTGAATCACCAAATGAATTCAAACTCAGAAAATAATCAAATTCCTATAAATTCTGACCCTAGTAATTTTGAATATCAGCATGCCGAAAATTT